ATGTGCATCATTTAGAAAGAGTGCTGGAAGAAGCAGCAAATTCCGTCCTCAAATTTGACACTTTAAAGTTGATTTGAATATTTTTCAGTTGGGCTACTTTCCAAAATCCACATGAGCCACTCTTCACATCGGCATAAAATATATCCACAGCACTTATTTGGCAAAAAAGGAAGTTGTGTCACTTTTAAAGCTGGTTCACCTGCTACTCCTTTTGTTTCCACCTTCCAAAACGGTGGTGAAGAACACCAGGAGCTGAGATCTTCTTCAATAAGGACTGGTGTGTTAACTGCATGGCAAATTGATCAGAGGACACAAGGACAAATTGCCTCTTCCTAAGTTAAAATATGACCCGTTGCTGACGATCAATGTAGCAGATAAAAGACCTATTTGAATGGAGTCAGGCAGCAGTGAGCAGTCCACATAAAACGCACCGGGGCTACATTACATCACTTCCAGCAAACGTCACTTAGAACAATGAGCGCAAAACAGTATCAGCGTCTGTTTTAACCGAATATTATTTGGACTATTTAGACTCGGCTAAAAATACTGAATCCCTCATGACATTAGCATATCGTCATACCGCCAATGTTATCTTCCCGTCACCTGTCTCTCCTCCGCTCCGTGTGTTTGTGCAGAGGCTAAGCCCCGCCTCTCTGTAAAGCGTGAGAGCAGAGAATATATCGATGATCATGTGAAATTTTAGCAGCGGCGCTCATAATTCTGCAGTATAGGCACTGCTGTGTTTTATTCTCCAGGGATACAATGGACCCAAAAGACTGATGAAAGCTCACACATTCCTTTTTTGTGTTTGCTGTCTGGGTCCGCTAGAATTCGTCTACATACTGGGAGGGTAAGGCGGACATGGAAACCCTCCAGAGGATCTACGGAATCTCCTTCCCTGACCCCAAAATGCTGAAAGAGTGGGAGAAGTTTCAGGAGGAAGCCAAGAACAGAGATCACCGCAAACTGGGCCGGGTATGAGCTGAAAAGTGAAGAAGCTTTTGCTGAGAAAAAACGAGTTTGTCTCCATAGTGATTGTAAAATGGTCTCCTCCAGGTTCTGCTCGTACAAAGGAAGGTTATTTGCGGTATGTTATGAAATACAGGTGGAATGCTTCTAAAGCATAAGAGTCAGTGTTTGATGTGTGTCTGATGTAACCAAGTCACCGCACCTTCTCAACTGAGACGTGATAGTCAAAGCCTTTTCTGAACAGTGTGAAAACAAGAACCTTTGTCCTCTAACAAGTAAAGGTTTTTTTTTTTTTTTTAATTTCAGGTAAATGCCTCAAAGTGTCTGTTCAGTCACATATTAATCTAGAAAGAAATACTGTGAATAGCAATATAAAATAATACCTATTTTGGGCTTTGAGTGATAGTAAAATGAACCCATGTTGTAAAGCAGCATTCAATCAGAATGACCTGAGTCTTTGGAAGAGTTTCACTAGATTGTCAGGCTGTCTTCATTGCCCAAAAGTAATCTGTGACTCTATTGTTGAACGGGAATTCACAGTTCAGTGTGTGTGTTGTTGCCATTCATTCAGAATAATAATAATAATAATAATAATAATAATAGGTGTGGAAAAGTGATCCGAGCAGGAGACAGTACAGTACAGTGCTGTTGGGCCTGAGTGGTGGCCCTTTTCTTTTGTTTTCCATCACGCTAACAAAGCTTTATTACTTTTTTGTTAAATTCAGGAGCAGGACCTGTTCTTCTTCCACGACCTGAGTCCAGGGAGCTGCTTCTTCCTGCCTAAGGGGGCCTTCATCTACAACACCCTGATCGAGTTCATCAGAGTAAGACAAACCTGTGTGACCCACGCCGGGTAATCGTTGTGATCTCACTCTGAACTTCAAGACACAAGAAAGGAGAGTTTAAATTGGCAGGGAGGCCTGGGGAAAAGGGAAGAACCCATTTAGACCTTTAGTCGACCCGTTCAATATTAGTGGTTTTATATAATTCAAGACGTATCGCTGCAGTTTTATATCACTTTAAGTGCTGTGTTTCTTTAATATTTCATGTCATGATCTTTAAACTGATGAATTCAGGACTAATGAATCAAGTCTTAGAAACCAGGGGTTCTGCATGTAAAATGGCATAGGTTCACATCTAAAACATAAACGTGCATGCAATAAAATTCATATCCGTACCTTCTCCTCCCACAACAATAATGCTGTCAATAGATATTGAAACATCGAATTCATGCCTTCTAGCATTTCTTTTTGCCAGGTAATAGAAACACTTGGTGTTCAATTAAACTCATTTATGAATCTCAGAATTTCGTATAATTTGGAGTAAATTGAATCGTTCTGTCAATCACATCTTCAAATAGATGTGATTGACAGCGGTGAATAACATCTCAATTGCACCTCGGCCACAAAATCGATCGGACTTTCTTGCACATTGAAATCAATTTCACTTTGATGTGATGAGGAGTAGTGCGACGTGTTTATGAAATGGATCAGCCTGCACAAGCAACAAAACACTTCCAGATATGTGAAGC